CCAGAGAATCAGCTGGAGAGAGCAAAAGATGCCCAGGGCAGGCTATGGCAGGTGCATGATCTACTCTCCTGCATCAACAGCCTCTCTTTGCTTCTCGGCAGCCAGCAGAGGTTGGACCTGTCCCAGAACAGTGATGGGAACAGTTTTTCCTCCATTACAAATGACAATGTGTGGAAGTACGGTGCTTAGTGTGGACCTCTGGGAGCACAGGTGAAGCTCACCACAGCATAAAAATTTAAAAATCTCTTTTAGACAAGAGATCTTATTTTTTCATATAAAAGAAAAAAATCAGGAGACAGAATCGAATGTCTTAGACTTTGTGTATCCAGACCCAAGGTCAAAAATGTAATAACATTATTTTTGAGAAAAGATTGTTTCATTTCTGCAATAGCTACCCTTAAACCAACACAATTTACTCTGGAATTCTGCCTCCCTGAGATAAAATTGCTGTATCTCTCAGAAAACAACCTGAGTCTGTTGTCTGCATCCCTTCCATCACATATAAAGGAGCTGCTCTTAGGCTCTTTGTGGCTATTTTGATTATAGGAAACATGTTCCATAAACAAGACTAAACTTTTCTTAAGAAACATATTTATTACTTGCATAATTAAAATAATAATATACAATGTCAGTCTATCAGATTGGAAAATGTTTCAAAAACAAGCATAATATCCAGAATTATTTTAATCGTAAGAAACGGGCATGAGTGAGAACTGAGAGAGGATGTGTAAATCGACAAAATGCTGGCAAATCATCAGTGCACATTGAAAGCTATAAAAATGGTTTACTCTTTGAGCCAGCAAGTCTACTTATAGAAATTTATCCCTAAGGAAAAGTGAACACATATACAAGTGTCACTGTGATAGAAGTCTTCTCACATTTTTCTAAGGGTAAAAAAGAGGACAGAAACAAAAACACAACATCCAACAACAGTGTTGGGACACTTAGTGGCCAGGTCTCCACCTGCCCCTCTTAGTGGAACAGCACAATGGTAGTCACGAGGGCAGTGTGCTTAGCTGCGACACAGCTCACAGACCCCCTTACAGCTTGGGGGCTCTGGCCAGTGAGCCAGGGAGATGTTAGCAGAATCGATGTGTGACACACTTCTGGAAAAGTCCTTAAAGGGAGCTGACTCAGGTGGGAGAGGTGGCCTCTCTCTTTGCTCTTCTTCCTCCACAGAAATGTGAAAGCTGCCACTGGAGCTCAGTGCCATCTCTTGAGGATGAGAGACACTTGCTGTGAGTGTCAGAACACAAGGACACTTACTCTGTTTTATGGAATGAGGTGTTGCCTGATTCTAGAATCAAGATAAAGCAGTTGAGATCATGGGGGAAGAAGAAAAAGAGTGCAGAACTCTTCTTAAGACAAAAGAAGTTTGGGCCTCTGACAACTTAGGAGAACCAACCAACTAGTCCTGGAGTATAGATGCCCACACTCCTCTTATGAGAGCAGGAAACCCTCATGAGTGTAAGTCACTGAACTCAGTCTCTACTAAGGCAATAGACAGTTAAATGTACTTATTGATGTATTAATACAAACTTTATACAGACATGAAAAAGTCATATTAAACACCCATATTTATTGATGTGGAAAATGTTCTTAGTGTATTGTTAACTGAACAAAGAAGATTATAAGCCAGGAAGAATCATATAATCAAAAATTTTTTTAATTTGTGTGTGCATCTACCGGGATATAACTGTATGAAGACAGGCCTGAAAGGCTACACAAAAATTGTTGACAGTAGGTATCTTTGATTATCATTGAGTGATGTTATTAGAGAGAATTTAACTTTCTAAAAATTTGTTTTTGCAAGTTCTATTATTTTGTCTTCAGTGACTTGATATTGCATATGAGATTTAAAGATTAAAAAGCTACTATAACTTAATTTACAAACCAGTGATGTGGAGGGATAAAATGTCTGTAACATCCGTGACAAAGAGTTATTCAATCTATGTAAAACACTGTTGCCAATAAAGAGGAGATGAAGGTAAGTATGCA